CCAGCCAGCTATGGTCACTAAAATGGGACTTGTGAAGATCACACCCAGCCAGCTATGGTCACTAAAATGGGACTTGTGAAGATCACACTCAGCCAGCTATGGTCACTAAAATGGGACTTGTGAAGATTACACCCAGCCAGCTATGGTCACTAAAATGGGTTTTGTGAAGATCACATTCAGCCAGCTATGGTCACTGAAATGGAACCCTGAGACCCCAAAATGGAATTGCGCCTTCTTCTCGTGGCTTCCTTAGAAACAGACAGATGGATCTCATTAGTATGAGATATGAACTTCAACTCTCTTGGCTAGAAACCTCACTCATCTAGGTAAGAACAAGAAAAACGATCTAGTCATCTAAGAAGCTACATTTTGCATCAGCTGAATTTGGAAAATTATTTCTTGGATGCTGAGATTTTCTATGCAGCTTTTGGAACAGAGCACACAACAATGTTACCTGATGCTCTGGCATCAAAGAAGCATTCTAGAGAGCTGTTGAATGGGTGGTATGTTACAAAGAATCCCTAAGCTCCCTTTGCAGCCAAGGACAACGTAAATGAGACCACAGATCCTATAGAAGAAGTGCTTGGATATAGAAGCAGGTAGGGAAAGATAGTCATTGGATTGAGACGTGCCTTACTTTTCCAAAACAATTTTAGCCTATGAAGCTGCTTATTTTCTGAGGCTGTGGTTCTATACCTGCCAAAGCTGTTATTAAAAGCACTGGAGTCTTGCCCAGTTTAGACTCTTGGAGTCCAGCCAAAATGCCCTGCTTGGATATGAGGGAAAACTGTGGTGTTTCCAGAACAGGAAAAGGTATATCTTCCTGGGTTTAGCTAATTTGAAGATGGAGTCTGTTCTTCTTCAATTCTAAGATTACCAAACGGTCTGATTGGATAGGTTCACAGGGATTCTTGCAGCCCCACTTGACACTCGCCTCCACTAAGGTGGGTCCCCAGTTTTCATTAAAAAGAGGGGAAAAGTTCAGAATTTCGGGGTAGGTGGGTGTGGTTAGAGTAGGAAAGGAGCAGAGGGTGCAGTTGATGAACGCTTTTCCAGCCTGTCATATTCTTTGCATAACCAGCAAGTAATTGGCCTAAACATGCAAATCAGGTTGCCCGGATTTGACACACTTTCTGAACCGGTAAGGAGATGGTGGTGCTTCCTGCTTTGGGCTGGGTGGAAGGAGGCAACCCTTCCTTCCAGAGGCAGTAAGAAAAGATTGCAATTCCCTTGTCTGGGATAGGCTAACCAATAAAAGGAAGGATCCAGCTTTCCTGGGCTTTGCTGAAATGGTCAGAAAGATTTCCTGCCTGGACTTGTTGCAAAAAAGACAAGCTGGTTTTGATGCATGGCGAGCTGGTGTCCTCTAGTTCAGGGTTCCTCAACCTTAGCAACTTTAAGATGGGTGGACTTCAACTCCCATGCTGGCTGGG